ATTATGTGTCATCACCAAGCAACTTCACATAAATTTCTTCACAATAAGTCACCCAAACCAAGTAAGGGAAATATATAGCTTGAGATAAGTAGTGTCTTTTTGCACCTTATGGCCTACGTGTCAGCTACATCACAGTGTAACCGTTGACCTTCTCCAAAGCTACACAAAGATTTAGCTTCCCTTTGCAGGGCAGATCTTAATTACAATGTCAATTTTTGATCAATCGATATCAAAAACTCGAAGTTGGAGAAGTTTTTCTCAGATTCTAAAGTCTTTTTAGCTATTGAAAGCTGCAAGAATAATTTGGAAAAATTTGCAAAATTGTTAAAGTTTCAGACTATTGTTTACATTATATAGCAAGTTCAAATAAAAAAAGGAAAGAATTCGGATTATATTAGTGCGGATTTTACAAGTTTACTCAGTAGAATTAATTGTTTTCTCTCTTTAATACACCCAAAATTCAAGTTGTACAGTAACAAATGCCCGTACCTGTTCGTCATAGGGCCAGTCAGAGAAGTCGAATCTACAAGTGACGTGGAAAGAGAATGATCCACTTGCCCAAACCCTTCCAGAACTGGTGACCATCGCTGGCAAACCATGCATATATAAGTGCCAGGAATTGCCACGAGCGCTGAATCAGGAAACTTTCTGAGAAAGGCATTGAAAGTTAAAACCAAACTGTAAACTGATCATTGCTTCCATTTTTCTAAAAATTAGTAAAAAACCAGCGTTCTTCTCAAAACAGATGTACATTCCAAACGTGCCTATTGTAAAGAGCGAGCGCCGGTTGCCATACTCGCCACGAGTCAATGTTGATCTTTGAGGTATCATTGTAATCCTTAGGATTCCAGACCAGATATTCGTCAAACCATGTAGCCCACAGATGACCGTGCACTAGCATTGTTTGTTCGTGCTCGTCCTAAACTACCCACTTGCTTTCCATTAGATTTTCAGTTTCTTTAAATACTCACCACTTTCTCAACATGGGTTATGCCCATGTAGACGCTGACTTGCACCGTCGTTGACTCTTTCTTGACAGGTCGATGGCGACTGTTGTAATTCTTCAGAAGCACATCTTCGAGTTTTTTGTTGTAGTCCGTGCTTTGGCCACATGTTAGCATCAGGAACAACACTAATAAATGAAAATGATCAAATTGAGGAAAGCTTCCCTAATGTAAATTTTTATGGACTATAACACTATCAGACTGAATGTATAGAAGCTTACTCTAATGAGATTGACATATGCGTTTGCACGTTCTCAAAATACTGCAATAAACCTTCAAAAATTTTAGAACAGGAAACAAGTGTTTTCATCGCAAGCATTGAACTGTAATTATCAAAATGGAAAGTCTTATAGAAAAAATTTTTTCAAAGCTGCTTCTCGTCAGTCCGTAACAACTCGTTGCATTTGTAACACTGATTTGAACAAATGGAAAT